CCCCCCCCCTTAATCTTTAACACAAGGCTTGCGCCTACCTATACGGTGATAACAATCAGCAGCAGAGAAGCAAACATGGAACCATTAACGTGATAATATGAGGAGTTGTTATCAACAAGCACAGCTTATGGAGGTCAATTGAAATCTTATCTTCTTGAAGTTGCTGGCTTTGCAGACTGCTGTCAATGGCTCGTGATGAGTGCTATATAAGAAAAAGACTAAGCTTTATTTTTAAAAATCCTGATTCAAGGCAAAAATCTACACCCGTCTTAAATCATGATCTGTTGATATTTAGATTACTCGGTTAGAATCGAAATGTCAACAAGTTGGGGGTTTTTGGTTGTTTGTTTTTCTTTTGTAAAGCGCCCATTGTGTGCAAACACTTGACATACGATCTTGTTAAGGTTTCTGCCTCATGTCGTTGACTCCTGTCGCTATTCTATTGTTGTCCTTGTTGCCGGGGTCTATGATTCCTTCTTCCACATACGACAGGCCATTTCAAAGGACGACCTGGTCCTGCAGCAGAACACCAGGCTGAAGAAAGTACTGTTTTATTGATAGACAGTTAAATTTCCGACCACTCTTGGAATTGAACCTTTATCTTCTGTATATTGTTCAAGTTTGTAACTATTCTGTTCCTACGAGCCTGGAGAGCTCAGCTGAAGATGGGAACTGTGCATCAAGGTGGATAATGGCTGCACAGGGGCGGTTTGTTAACTGGGCATATGCCGGTCAAATTTTTGTCAGCTCTACCGTTGACAAGAGCTTTATTGCTGCTGCTGATTTTCATTCAGTTTTAAGCAAATCCGAATCAACATGTATCAACATTCTAAAAGCACCTTGCCGATTTGAAGGCGTTCAAATAGACAAGTGGGATTCACTGCTGTTTTGTCGCGACAGAGCCTCACCTTTGTTTATCGCACCGGCTCGTAACTTTAAATCGTCTCTTGTCAAGCCGTCACACCGCGGAACTTCGTACGTGGACAAACGAACACGGTGGGTACAGCGATGAAGTCAATCCGCTGGGCAAATCCATCGACTGCCCTAAGAGCGAATATAGCATCCCTTGATTGCCAAATTGGCCTCCGTACTGTTGCTTACAAAATCAGTAATGAGACTGTCTTGAGTCTTGAGCAGCACAGACACATGAAATATTTTATCAGCTCAATACACGTACTTATCATTCAGCCTTTCTCAACTATCATCAGAACATTTATTGTCAGCATGGCACTAATCTTTTTTGTTTATTGAATTTTTAGCCACCTATAGTTCCTGTTTGGTGACTTTTTATCGATTTCTCCCCATTAATAACGTACCTGGCCCATACGAGTCTAGCCGGCGAAAAGAGGAATCGTCTAGTGAAGATATATAAGGAGAATTATAACAAGGAGCGATAGACTCTCGGCTGTCAGAGTCTGGGCCGAAAACAATGGGCCTACCCCCTCCCTTCTCTCCCCTTATCCACCGTCACCCCAGCTAGACACCAATAAGTTCTAATTAGCATTTGACACGCATCCCCACTTTGTTACCACAGTGTTCTGAAAACTGAGGAGTGAGATGAAGAACGTTTGATTACATAATGATGGAAAACTGTTGTGCGCTAACTTTGTCCCGCTTTGTATAGTATCTGATTGTAGACTTAATCTGCGTGGGACAACGTCATTGGTACAGTATCAATTGACTTTTTGCCATTGTACAGTATTGTTCTTATTACATATTTACAGGTCGGGTGCACGTCGATATTGTGTGTGGGTGTGTAGAAAGTAAAAGTCTTTGGTTAAAGTGCAGGAGGCCATGACCAGCAGTTCATTGCGCTTCTCACTTTCAGTTTTTCTAGCACAGACTCTAGTAGTGTTTCTTTTTCTATGCCGTTCAAGTCAGTTTCTATTAACTCAACAACTTCCATTATACATTAATA